AAATGGGATAATATTTGTACTGACTTCATGGGGCTGTGATGAGAATGAAGTGAGCAAATCTAAGGAAAGCCTGGCCGCATCCTGCCTGGCACACAGGACGCACTCAGTAAGTGTCACTGTCACACCCATCGCTCATCGGGCGGGGCCACTTGGACGAGGTGGCCATGAGTGGAAAGGAGGACAGCAGGGAGAGCAGGAAAACGTGCAGCCCCTGGATATGCAGCTGGAGGTGTGCGTGGGACAGGAGGCTTGGGGTGGAAATTCCAACCCGAGGCTCCGCACCCAGGGCACGAAGTCTTAACTGTGAGATGGGTTCTCGGCCTCAGGAGGGGGCGGCCCTGGGGTGTGCCCAGCCTTCCCCTGGCCTGCCCCATCCACAGCTCCTCTAGAACCGCTGCTGCTGTACCTCCACCCTCATGCCCAGTACAGAAGGAACCGCCACAGGGGGAACTGGGTGTTTGGTGTCATGTGACCCCGGGCAGGTGGCCAAGACCAAGGCCCTCTGGGCCTGTGCAGTACAGGGAACCCAGGCCCAGGCTGGGGTCTTACCAGGGGCCACAAGGAGAAGGGAACTCAGCAGCCACAGCATCGTGAGCTTTGAGATGATGGGAAAGAGCCCCAGAGCCAGGGGCTCTAATATTGGGCAGGTGGCAGAGGGCGGGGCAGGGCTGGGCCCCATTCCCAGAACAGGTGGTGGAACATCAGGTCCCCCAGGGCCCAAGGCCACGGTGCCTCCTTCTGCATATGGAGGTGGGATAGCCAATAAAAGGACCAGGTGATTGTGCAGGTGGCATTGAGCAGCCAGCTGATAACAGGCAAAAGGGAAAAAGGTTTGCTTTGAGGTTAGAGGCCTGGATTCAAATCCTGCCTCTGCCAAGTCCAAGGTCTGTGAACTTGAGCAGGTGGATTGACCTCTCTGAGTTTCAGGTTTCTGGTCTCCAATGTGGGATTCGTATCACCTACCTCAGTTAACATAACTTTGCTGAGTACTGTCTCTACCTACCCCAGGCACTGTGCAGGGGCCACAGCCAGGAACAGGCCCTGCTGCCCGTGCTCCTGGGTCTTGGCTCAAGGAGGAGAGACAAAGACAAATGAGTGAAGACCCAGGAAGGCTGTTTCCAACTGTGGTGCGGGCAGATGGTGTGGAGAAGGAAACATGGGTGGTTGGGGAAGGGGTGGAGCAACCCATGTAGCTGGGGAGCCCCAGAAAGTGACATGCGGCAGAGGGGGGCATCTGACTGAGTCGGATGAATAAATAAAAGCCAGCGCAGGGAGGGCCTGGTCGCAAAGCACTTTGGGTGGAGGGGTCAGTGAGGGCCCAGTGCCTAGGTCTCAAGCTGAATGGACCTGGCTCCTTCAAGCACAGGGAGGTTGCTGGGTGTGGTGGCACCGGCCTGTAATCCCGGCACTCAGGAGGCTGAGACAGCAGGATCATTGCAAGGTCGAGACCAGCCTGGGCTACAATGTAAGCTCAAGGCCAGTCTGAACAACACAGCAAGACCTTGTCTCAAAAAGACAAAAAAAAGAATAGTCCGGTTTGGGGCCAGAGACACCGCCTGGCACCTGCAGGCTGGTGCAGCCACAGTAGCACTCCCAGTGCACGCATGCGCGAAGCGGCCCTGTTGACCCGTGGGTGGGGATGAACACGTCCCCGCCGCCCATCCTCGGTCCTCCGAGACACAGAGGGCTCACACTTTATCACGAGTGGACGAGGACGCGTCCTGTGCTCTCCTGATAGAACATTAATCTGCAGCCGAGAGAAGCCAATCACAGCAGCCTCCACCGTGATGGTGACACGGAACGTTTTCACTACCTGCAAATCTTCCTCCCCGCAGCCAGCTATGCTTTGCGCCGCTCGAGTTCTGCCTTTTCTGGAGTCTTACGTTCCAATGGAATCGCACAGTACATAGCACGTGCCTTTAGCTTCCGGGCTTCTTTCGGAGTTTCCTGTGTGAGATGCGGTGTGGAAAGTGTCAGCTTATTGTTTAAAATATCTGTAGCTCTTACTAAATAAGTGTGACCCGAGACGGGACTATGATGATGTGTCAGTGATGAGAGGACTGAGGATTGTGATCAGTGTTATTCTGCTTCTGTTCTCTGACATTCAGAGAGAGAGACAGAGAGACTGTGAGACAAAGAGAGGGAGAGAGAGACAGAGATGGGGAGAGAGGATTCTGGAGGACATCTTTGCAGGTCAGAGGCATGAGGAGGTGGGGCTTTATTCTAAGCATAAGGATGAAGGCACGGGTTTGTGGGACGATGACAAAGAGGGGAAGGACCTGGATTCTCACGTGTACTTTGACAAATGTTCTTCTTTGGGCCTGTTGTGGCAGCACATGCCTGTAATCCCAGGTTCAGGAGGCAGAGGCAGAAGGCTCCCACATAGCAAGGGCCTGTCTCAAAAGACACAACTACACGGAAACATTTCTTCCTGAGGCTGGGCTGGAGCAGTATGGTAGGGATGAGGGGGTGAAGAGGACCAGCTGGACCCACTTCAGTCAGCCGGGCACAGCTGCAGGGATGGGGGGCTCCGCTTGAGGCAGTGGAGGCGGCAACTGAGAGGGAAGTGTGGCGTCAGGGTGGGTTTTGGAGGAGGAAGTGCATCCCAGCAGTCAGCTCATTGCCTGGAGCTGCGTTCCATGGCT